TAATGTACTATTTTGGTTTCATCTGATTTCCAAAATTTTGGAGGGGGCTGAGTGTCAAGTTAGCCCCTCATCTATTCTTTCATATAATTTTGTTACCGAAATGGCACAGTTCAAAATATCATCGGCACAGTAAAGCACATTTCGAACACAGTAAGTGGTTGCAATTTTTTTAGAAAATTCACATGTGGTGGGCTAACTTCACGGAGCCAGTAATTTGCTACCTTATGATTTAGATTTTGGAAAACTTTGAAAGGTCAAAGGTCATAAATTTTTCCATTAGAGATAAAAAGCTGAAATTTTCAGCGATTCTCAGCCCAGTAGAGGACTACAATCCCTGGAAATTTCAGCTCATTTGGACTTATACTTCAAGAAATAAAATCCTGTTAAGCAATTTGGGGTGATTTATCAATTTTTCAATTTTGAGTGCCTCTTTTCATAGAATCTGGCACCAAATCTCAGAATAATTTAGTGTATGGAGTTTTGGGAATCCCAAAAGACCATTAGGACACAAAATCTGGACAAAAAAAAATTGATTTAGTAAGAAGGTAGCTTATGATTGAGATTTTAGGAAACTTTGAAAGGTCATAACTTTTTTTCTATCAAAGATAAAAAGCTGAAATTTTCAGCGATTCTTATCCCAGTAGACGACTACAATCCCTGAGAATTTCAGTCCATTTGGACCGAGGGGTAAACCGCAGGGGAATTTTGGTGTACATTCTTCAGGAATTGGTAAGAAATAAGAGGAATTAGAGGAATTATTGGGGAATTTGAGAAATTACTGGGGAATTATGGGAATTAGTCAGGAAATTTGGAGAATTAGTCGGGAAATTCGGGGAATTAGTGAGAAAATGGTGGAATTAATAGGAAATTATAGAAACCAAATCAGTCAACGTTGCATCAAATGGAACTGCTAGGGATCCAGTGTATCCAATGAAACATAGATGGATTTCATCAATCTGTTTTATATTATTTATTTTATAATAATTTTTTTTGAAAGTACATGCATTTATTACGTTTTGTTTACGATGAACTGATGCATTTATGATAGAAATAGAAAAAAAATTATTTCTTTTCAGCCAGTGAAATATAAATCTGCTCGTCCAAGAATAAACCCTATCTCTGTAAAAATATAGAACTGTATAAAGGTACGGTATTCCGATCGAAAATATGGTAATAGATTCTATTAGTTGTGATGCCAATTTTATGTTGCGCACTTTTGCTTCCAAACCAATCAAGAAACCAATTTATTTCGTATGTAAAATTCCAAATTCCGTTAAGAGAATCTTCTAGTAAGTATTTAAAAATAATGAACTAGCTGAGGAACTTTTGGAGAACATAAGTGAAATAGAAACTGTCTAAAACACTGATGAATCTGTGCCTGATTTAACTTGATTTAATTGTACTAGTTCTAACTATGCTGAATAGATTCCTGGAAGGACTGAGTCAACAAGGTATGTTTCCTGCCACTTCCGCTGAAGCAATCACGATATCTATTCAAACTGGAGTACAAGCAGTATATGCCCATCTAATACTTGCTCAACCATTGCATGCTGGGTAAATTGACATACTCTCTGTCCTTATTCCTGATATGACTGATAATTCATTGATTACTGAGCAGGTCACTGTCACTTTGAGATGAGAATGGATGAAGGACAAAGCTAAGAAATTTGGCATCACAATTATGGGATTTTCCTCAGACGGAAAATCGCCTTCTAAGAGATATGCATTTAAATATTGATTTGATGTCTCGTTTAGCTCCTGAATAAAAAGAAAAAAAACAAAACAATCCCAGAAGATACAGAACTACTCCATTCTTTGCCAGTTCCAGAGTAGGAGTGGTACCACTGTAGCAGTGCAAAAAAATGAAGAACGATGTACAAGACACCACACATATTTGGACAAATATGCGCACCTACTCGTTTCCTAAAACCTGATGTAATAAAAATGCCAGAACAAAAACTACTATGTAAAGAAGAATTTCTCAAGTTTGATATCAAAGCTACTTACAGTTGAAGAAACAAGAAACTTTACAAAATGTCATAGAGGATATGAGACAATTCGGACTCAATGCTAAAGAAAGCGATTGGAGATATATGCAGGTATAGTCTTTTCAGAATCAGTTGAAACAAGGTAAAGGTGAATCACAACTGGTGACTGAATATTTCCATAAGATTGACTTTGAAAATACTATACCTTCAATAAACCAAACACAAAATATCGGATATCCACAGGAAAACATAGAGATCGAGGAAGGCGACGTTGAAGTTGACGAAAACCTTGAAGAAAATAAAAATGACCAAGATGTGGCAAACACAAATGATGTTAGTAATGAGGGCGATATAGTCATGGACTTAATTTCAAAAAAAAAAAAAATTCTTGGAAAGGACCTCGCACATTTCTTATGGAAAATGGTTTTCAGCTAAATTTTCTGAAAATTTGAGATAATGTAGTTCTCGATGTCCTGATTAAAAGTTCTCATGGGCACAACTCAATCCTATGATCAGTTTTTGAGTTACGGGTTGTCAAAATTGGCATTTTTAGGCTTTGAGATATTGATTTTTTTTCAACATATTTGTTTATATTTCCTCGATAAGTACATTTAAATTGAAAGTTTTTACTCTAAGTTTTAGGCGTTTTGGTGTCTTCTTAAAATGTGGTATAAAAGTTCCTACAGCGTCTTACACAAAATGGTGGCGGCAAAAAAATGTCAATTTAGAAAAAGTCGCAAATAACTAAATTCGATCAATTGTGTAGAATACAAAAACGAACGGCTAGATTTTGCCCTATTTTCAATATGTTGTTATCAAAAGTATACTTAAGAATACCTACTATAGTTTTGGATCCAAAATGTTATACCAGGTGTTCATTTTGTGCCAGGGCCCTGGTGTAGATGGTAAATGCCGACTGCAAGCGGGGTTCAAGTTCAAATGCTGTTTCAATGGGCATTATTTATTGTTTTATATCCTACTGAACTATTAAAACCATATAATACCTTGGTTACGATAATCATAAACAGGGTCTTAACTCCCAAGGGAGTTAAGGATTTTCATAACTCCCAAGGGAGTTAAGGAAGGGAGTTAAGGATATCATAACTCCCAAGGGAGTTAAGGATTTCCATAACTCCCGCTTTTACCTTGAATAGGTAACCCTTTGACAAAAAATAGAAATTTTGATTTATGGCTTATTCCTTTATAAAAATAGACAGAATACAGTAAATTCAGTAGGATATAAAATTATCTATGTACCACGGGAATTATCAGGAGTTAATACCCACGGGCAATTGGTGTCCCTCGGGCCGGAGGCCCTCGGGACACAAACGTTGCCCTGGGGTATTAACACCTGCATAATTCCCTTGATACATAAATAACTATTAAGTTTACCATAGGAATAGAGTTCACTAAAATTGATATTGTCGGCCATAGTGTACAAAATATAAAATAGTCTGAGGATTGACGAGTATGTGACCTTTTTTAAAACTGTATAAATAACCATTCTCACAGATATAGCGTAGGAATAAAGAGTGCCATCCCATCAGACTTATACCTATCTACTTAAACTAATAAACGTAATATTTTTTTTCATTGCCTCACTTTGGGCAATCAAAATGACTCCACTAAACAGGCCCTATCTCAGGGTCTATTTGTACAGTTTTAAAAAAGATGAGACTATTCTATGTTTCTTACGCTTAGTCAATATTATCAATTTTAGTGAACTCCATTCCTACGGTAAACTAAAAACAATGAATAATGCCCATTGAAACAGCATTTGAACTTGAAACCCGCTTGCAGTCGGCATTTACCATCTACACCGGGGCCCTGGTACAAAATGAACACCTGGTATAACATTCTGGATCCAAAACTATAGTAGGTATTCTTAAGTATACTTTTGATAACAACATATTGAAAATAGGGCAAAATCTAGCCGTTCGTTTTTGTATCATACACAATTGATCGAATTTAGTTATTTGCGACTTTTTCTAAATTGACATTTCTTTGTCACCACCATTTTGTGTAAGATGCTGTAGGAACTTTTATACCACATTTCAAGAAGACACCAAAACGCCTAAAACTTAGAGTAGAAACTTTTAATTTAAATGTGCTAATGGAGGAAATATAAACAAATATGTTGAAAAAAAATCAATATCTCAAAGTCTAAAAAAGCCAATTTTGACAACCCGTAACTCAAAAACTGATCATAGGATTGAGTTGTGCCCATGAGAACTTTTAATCAGGACATCGAGAACTACATTATCTCAATTTTTCAAAAAATTTAGCCGAAAGCCATTTTCCATAAGAAATGTGCGAGGTCCTTTCTCATGAAGATCGCAAATGTGATACTTTGGAAACAAGTTGTATGAACTTCAACGTTGTTGTTAAAAATTCTTCAATCATTAAAAAGTCATTGTGCTGCTGGCTTTTAGATCAGTCTAAGTAAGTAAGTACTGACCGATTAAAAAGATTTATAGACAGTACAGCGAAAACACGTCGGAAAACATTGGAGAAATCACCTTCCAAAAATTCCGACCTTGACTATGAAAAGGACTAAACCACCGACTTAACAGAAGCTACCTATGTATTTTTTTTTCCCCAGCTTTTTTACAGACTTCGTTATTTTAACATGTAATAGTGCAAACATCTAGATATTCTTGATTTATTCTACACCATTTTGTGAACAAATTTTTGTGATAGATTTGGTGAATTAGTTGGGAATTAGTAAAATTAGGGGAATTAGAAGGGAATTAGGGAATAAGAGGAATTAGTTACCATCCTGAGAATTAGTGTACACATTTTTCTTAGCGGTTTACCCCTCGATTTGGACTTATAGTTTCAATTTTTCTGAGTGCCTTTTTTCATAAAATCCGGCTCCAAATCTCAGAATAATTTAGTGTATGGAATTTGGGAGATCCCAAAGGACCATTAGGACACAAAATCTGAACATAAAAATACTGCATAAAAAAAAATCAAAAGCCTGGACAGAGTAAAATGAAAAACTAGACTTACTTGATATAAAACAGTGGATCTGCATCGCAAGTAACTTTGTTGTTGGCCTCGACGATTTTTTTAATTTCCACATTAATAAAATAGTTAAACGAGTCGATGTGTTGTTTAACCAGGCCTTTAACTTTAAGAAAAGCCGGTACCAATTTCCATTTTTCCTAATTGAAAAAAGAAAACCAAAATAATATATATTATAACTATTTATGCCATAAGTAAGTAAGGTGGATCTTTTTGTGAATTTTGATAACCACATGCACATGAGTGAAAAAGGGGGCTGTTGCATATAAAAAAAAATGCTACTACCGACAATATAAAACCATAAATTTGAAAAAATATACTACTACTTTAGGCCCTAGTGTGTAAACTGAATAACTTCAAATATAATTTTACGTCTTTTGAATAGTGTGAAAAGTAAGTACTTTACGCACAGTAGTTGAAAAACATTGTTTTGTGCTAGTTAATTAAGGCCTACCTCAATTTCCTTTACGGGTTTTTGGTAGAACATCGGATCGCCGAATAGTTCTATATTTATATCTTTTAGTAAATCAGGCATTTTAACGATATAAACATTAATTAATAATAATTGATTATTTAAAAAAAAATCGTGCAAAGCAAAATTCAAAAATCAAAACAATCCTTTTTTTTTGAGGTTAGGTTAAGCCTGCTGCGCTGTTGCCAAACGTTGCCGTTGTCCAAAATTAATCTCGGAGCACATTCCATCTTTCTTCATATTGATAAGAAGAACAAGGACAAAAAACAATACATCAAATCAGCTTATCATTTGGGTCAAGGTAACAGCTGTCTGTCATCTGTCAAAGTTACAAAACCCAAGAGAAAAATGTCAGCAATTTATTTATAAATAATCTTTGATTAGATTGTTGTTGATTATAGGGGCTCGATAATTAATAAAATAATTATGGAAAATGTGTAATGAGTAGCCGCAAACGATGCGGACGTCTAGCGAGAAAAATTATACCTAAAAAATTATGAGTTAAAAGTGTCCCAGAACTGTGGTGTTTTTTTTTTTATTATTTTGTAGTTTTAGTTTGTAGGTTTAATTAATTTTCTATGACTGTGAAACGGCCAGACTTTGTCGATTTATGTTCCTGTCCTTCTACAAGTGAGTATTCCAATTTCACGTTAATTTTTTAATGTTGAGAGGTCGACCACTGAAGTGTATCGATATCAATTATATTGTACACACATCCTGATCTTTACATTGCGGCAATTATTGTGAGGTCAGTTATAAACGTACTTGAAATAATTATTGATATAGCAAATAACTCAAGTGCTTCACCCAGTAAACACAGCTACATAAATTTAAGGTAGAAATGTACTTAACTAATTCACCAAAATATATAAAATTTCTAAGTTTTTTTTTGAGTCACAAGAAGGTAAAATTAAACTTAACCATAATGCCATGCTCAAGTAGATGTAAAATTTATATCACAATGATGTAAACCATAGGTATTGTTAATTTAACCCCCGGGCAGGTGCGCTATCGGTCTTTTATGCCGCCTTTTTACTAATTCAAGGATTCCGCAAATATTGTGGATTTTATCATATTGTCCGTCTAGCTATGTTCAAATGACTATATCAGTAAACCTACTAAACACAATTTACGACCTTAGAGCGCTTGTTCAGATGACAATAAGTTCTTGAACTTGCAGATGTTGAGTTTAGAATCGGTGTGTCTCATGCAGAAGAAGTACTCCTCTAATATTCGTGCTCCCTCCTTGGTCAATACCAGAAGTTCACATGTAATTGATCTACCAATTCCCACATCCTCACTAACTCAAAAATCTATTCACTATAGGAGTAAGAAAATGTTTAATCACCTACCTCATAGCATAAGAACAATAAAAGAGAGTAGATGTTTCAAGAGACAAGTCAAAAAATTACTTTTGGCTAAGGGTTTTTACTCTGGGGGTCTTCTCTGTTTAATGGTCACTAATTTTAAGTTTTAAGAGGTCAACAACAAGCCGTTAAAAATTGAGAAAAAGGGTTGATTTCCCGAGACAAGAACTCACTTATTTTGTAATATTTTTTGACCGGATTAGAAAATAATAAAAGATAAAAATCTAAAGAATAATGCTGTTGTTTTAGATTTTCGAAAAAAAAAATTGCAAATTGAAAATATCATGACCTAAATACTCGAAAAAAAGCATCATTTCTATCGCTCGGTACATCCAAACCCATCGCTTTTTCAAAAAAATGAAACAAGAGCAAATCAAATCAAATCAAATCAAAATAAGCTTTATTGTCAGAAAATAACATAAGAGTTTCATTGATAAAGCAATACTTAAAGCTAGATTGTACTTAAAATCACAAAATATTACAATAACAACATTCATAATGACAAAATAATCTTTGATAATGAGCACAACCACAGATAAAAAATGCTAAAAACAAAAAATTAAAAATCTTAATCCTAAGACAACGACAACACAATAAATCAGGTTAAAATGAAGTAAAAAATATAAAAAATGTAAAATTATGATTATAGTGCATCGCCAAAATATTCTTCTAGATCATAATAGGCTCTCTCTAACAACATGTATTTAACTTTATTTCTAAATGCTTTATAACTGTTAAGGTTTTTAAAATCATAAGGTAACTTATTATAAACCTTAATGCTCTTATATATCAGGGAATTTTGTGTGAGAGTGAATTTAGGTGTTGGTACTGGAATATTATTAAAATGTCTTGTTGAATAGGGATGCATGTGTGTAGAATCTTTGTATTTTTTATGGATAAGGCAGACTGTTTCGAGTATATAAAGACTTGTAAGAGTTAATATTTTTTCTCTTTTAAACAATGGTTTACAGTGTTCTCTCGGGTCTGCTCCACAAACATGTCTTACACAACGTTTCTGAGAAATGAAAACCGAATTCCACAAGTACTGGCTGCAATTACCCCAAAAGGCAATTCCATATCGCAAGTGGGATTCAACCAGAGCATGATATGTGATTTTGGCCATTGTTCTAAATTTTATTATCTTTTCGAATCTTCTTGATTCACTAAAAAATATTAAGTAGTTTTTGAGATCTCGTCTCAAATTGTAAGCCCTGCAAACACGGAAATTCAAAAATTTTGGCTGCAGCGAGGTGCTGCCTCTGGCGGATTTAATTTCGCACCGGGGTAAGTCAAAATTACACAACGCGAGAGGACTGCAAGGCCAGTTATTAGTTTGTGTAAATAATTATGGTGAATATATTTCATAATGAACTCAAAACGAACAAAGATAACTTTACTAGAATTCAATAAACGAAAGGGGATATCATATAGCATAGTTAAATACAGTTAGTACATGAAGGTTAGGAATAAAATCCATCAAAAATACAAGGTTGATTTTTTTTTTCAAAAAATCTCGGATACGTCGATTTTTGATTTTAGTGGCCGTTTTTTTGATGAGAATTTCATACATTTGTCAAAACTGACATACCAACAATAAACTAACATGTTTTGATTGTTGATTTGAACCAATCAGATTGGAATTACGTGATAATTTATATTAGTGTAAATTATTGCATAGTAACTAATGCGAGAACTGGTGTTTTGACAAAAAATTTGAATTTTTGATTCATGAAATTTTCTCATAAAATACAGTGTATCCACTTAAGTTCGCAGCACATGGGAAACTATAAGAGTTTCTGCTTCTTGAAAAAATAATATCAAACTATGTATTAAAAGTTGAAATAGCATGTACAGGGTGGTCAAAAAATAGAAAAATATACAGGGTATTTCCTAAGTACGGTCCGTAACTTCAGGATGTCATTCCTTACGATATTTTAACAAAAAAAGTTCCCATAAATATGTGACCAGAAATGCGTAGTTTCTGAGATACAGGGTGTCAAAGTTTTAGAAAAAATCGTTTTTTCAGCTCAAAAATTTTTCCATTTTTTTTTTTTTTTAATTTGGCAGGTTGATTTGTGATAACGAAAGGTTTCTTTTGACTGAAATATGACTTGCTTAATCTGAAAAAAATATCAAAGGTTTAAAAAAATCGTGATGTGCCATTTTTTTTCTACTTTTACCAAAAAACTCTGCATATTTTCCTATTTTTTAATCCCCCTGTACCGGGTGTTTTTTTATCTTCGATATCATTCTGATCACCTGTAACTTTTTTGTTTTTGAAGTTATCAAGGTAAACAAAAAAACAAAATGTAGGGTTAGTAGCCAAGTTTTTTTTCAAATTACACGTAAAACAAAACACTATCAACTTTTTGACATATAAGCCTACATTATATTTTTTCAAATGGAACACCCTGTATATTATATATGTGTTATCTTATTCTGATTACAATGATATAGCACACTTCATATTTTGGTCCACTCGTTTTTGACAAATCGGCAAAAATATGAAACTTTCGAAGTGAAACTTATTAGGCGGCGGTCTGATATTTGGGACGAAAATTATTGAGAGCATATAAAAATTTCATATATTTTTGCCGATTTGTCAAAAACGAGTGGAACAAAATATGAAGTGTGTTATATCATTGTAATCAGAATAATATGCTCTAACGAACACACATATAATATACCGGGTGTTCCATTTAAAAATAGTACATTAAAATACAAGCTTCATAAGACGTGATTTTATCGCACGAGCCCTATATTAGAAAACGAGCCGGAGGTGAGATTTTTGAAGGACGAGTGCGATAAAATGTCTTATGAAACGAATATTTTATACTATTTTTTCTATTCTGGTATTGTTTGTCCGGGTGGAAAGTGATCCCGGGTGGAAAGTGCTCACTTTCCACCCAGGTGGAAAGTAAGTCCTATTTTCCTAAAATGTTGAAGACCAGTCCTACATGTCAAACGTTTTTTTAGATAAGTCAGAACTTGTCTATAAAATTTTTTAATTTTTTAAAAATATTTAGTCAAAATTGTAATGGTTGTAATTGTTGTAAATAAAATAGTATACAAACCTCGATAGGAAGTTTCATTCCTGTCTCAAGATTATAGTTAACTTGGACGCTTCGCGTCTCAGTTAACTAACTAATCTCTCGACAGTAATGAAACACTTCCCACCTCGGTATGTAATATACTATTTCAACTTTTGACAAATTTGCACTCATGCGTTCTTAACAGAAATGGGCACTGAAAAAGCACTGGTGCTCCTTTTTAACTAAAAATGCATCCGGGCAAATTTCCCAAAAATTATCGACAATTTCCATTGCACTCGACATTTAGAATTTCATATATCTGTCAAAACTGACATTCCAACAATAAACTGACATGTTTTGATTGTTGATTTACGTTTTATGCGTGTATCAAACGTCAAATTATTGAAGCAATGTCAAAAAAGAGCGAATCTCGCGCAAGTGAGAATTAGGCTTTACGCGATTATACAACTCACTGTACATTATTCCCATATGACACGACAGGATAAATAAGTGATAATCCTTCCCATATGACACGAGAGGCTTAATAAGTGATAATCCTTTTACACGGTAACTGGTGTTTTGACAGTTTTTGACAAAAAATTTAAATTTTTGATTCATGAAATTATTAATTAATAAAGAATTGAAGTTTAGTTCGTTGTATAACCTTTTGAATACTGTTGCATCATGTGTTGTTTTCAGGAGGCAGGGTTGTAAAAAATTCCCTTTTGTTTGGTGCTGACGCATTAGAAATTAGATAACGAAAATGAGACGTTGCCGTGCTTAACTTATAAGATTAGATACATATAAATAATAGTAAATATAATAAAGAAAAAATAAAAGAAAAAGACTCTAAATTAATGTGGATTGGACAAATACCACTCGATGTTTCAGGATTACCTAATACTTTTCCCTGACACTCAACGCGTTACCAGCAACACCACTCCTCCTTCGGAGTCGTGGTGTTGCTGCGTAACGCGTTTCGTGACAGGTAAAAGTATTATCCGGTAATCCTGAAACCTCTTGTGGTATTACATTCGATAATTGGCGTGACACTGGTGTTTTAACATTTTTTGACAAAAAATTTAAATTTTTGATTCATGAAATTCTCTCATAAAAGCTATTTTCGGGTTCAAAAAAGGACGGTTCTAGAACGGTTCAAAACAATCGCACAGTTCATCAATCAACTAAATGACAACGGTTCAGCTATCACAAATTTCAATAATAAACTGTG